AATGAGCGGTGACTCTGTTCTTCATAAAAAGGAACAAAATATGGAAAAATATTTCTCAAGCCTTTATCAATTCTTCTGAGAGTTGAAAGACAAAAAAAAATGGAATTTTTTCTAAAGAAATAGACATTCATCATGATAGAAAAGTAAAAGAAAATGGGGAGCAAGATGAGTGATTTGAGGTTTAGAGACCACCTTTGGTCTTCTGTATTTACTACTCTGGAATCTTCTTCTCCAGATTCAGGGGATTTAAAGATGAAGGGAGACATGAAAAAAACAAAAGTAGACTCTTCCCTATTTTTCACAGTAAAATTTATTTATCCTATCTTCTCTTTCAAGATGAAAGGGGTTATGGAATCAACTGAGCTTGCTGCCAAATAAAAGAGGTCTAATTATTTTTAGTTAAGAATTGGATTTATTGAAGTGATAGTATAGCTGGTAGGGTACTTGCCTTGCATGCTGTCGACCCAGATTCAATCCCCAGCATCCCAGAGTCTCCCAAGTCCCACCGGAAGTAATCCCTAAGTGCAGAGCGAGGAATACTCCCTGAGCACAGCCAAGGATGGCCCCGAAACAAACTACCACCAAAAACAATAAAAGAGTTGGACTTATATAAATCAACTGACCATTGCATTTCTTTTAGTCCTAGTTATAATTCTTTACATACTTTGAAGACATTTTTAGTAATGTATATAAACATGGGCCAGAGCAGCAGGACAGCAAGTGTGTGTGTGTGGGGGGGGGGGGCGGGGGGGGTCTGCCTCGTATGTGACTGACCAGGGTTCCATTCCCGGCACTCCATATGGCCACCCACAGCCACCAGGAATGAGTACAGAGCCAGTAGTAAACCCAAAACACTGCCAGTGCATCCCCCCAACCCCCAAAAAGTAATGTATACGAACATAATATGAGAATGGAAATTAAGGCCTCTATAATTTTAAATACCAGAGTTGAACATCAATTTTTACCTGGCCATGCAGCCTGATCTGCAGAAATTATACTTTTTCCTAGGATGTTTTCAGAGTGAGTAGTGTTTATGTGGTCAAATTGTAAATCCGTTAAACAATTTTGATATGCTCCCGTTTATTATTCAGTGTTACTTCAGGGGTTCAGAAACAATAACCAAGAGTGGAGATCCAAAAATAGGAAGATGAACTTAAGACCTAAGTGAAGATCTTAAGGTAGACAGGAGAGGGGTTGGGGTGCTTGGGTTAACGGTGGTTCAGTGGAAGGAAGGGAGGAAGGATGGGAGGGAGGATGGAAGACTTAAGAATTCTTTTCTCCCACGTAACAATTTTCAAATATTCAAATATTTTAAAAGAAGCCATAGTAATGTCTTAATGTATTTACTTGATAAACACTTACTGAAGGCACTGTGCAAAGATGAAAAACTGCTTTACCCTTCAAAATGAAAAAATTATCAAAATAACCTAGATTTGGTGTCCTTTCATCTTCTGAATCTACCTTACATATTTCCTAATGGCTTTATACAATCTCCTCCTTTAAAAATGTATGCCTATGGGAGAGTCTGCCTTAAGGGTCGAAGAATCATTTATCTTTTCTTTCTTCCCATTAAATCCTGTATTCAGTGTCACACAGCTGTGTGTCCTGATATACTGAGGTGAAACCTGATCTGGAGGATTAGAGAAAGTGGCACAGTACCCTATGTGGTCAACCTCTCTCCCCCTACTGGGGGGAAAAAAAGATCTTCACTTGGCCAGTGGCTGAGTCTAACCTCCTGCCACAAGGCAAATAATTCAGATTAAAAACATAATCTTCATTTTCTGAAAATTTGGTATTGAACGAAAAATTCATTCTAAATTTATTTCTCAGACTCCATTAGCAAGTGGTTTCTGTGTAGGACTGGCTGGCAAACAAGCTATTTAGGTTATGAGAGAGAGAGAGAGAGAGAGAGAGAGAGAGAGAGGGAGAGAGAGAGAGAGAGAGAGATCCAGGACATTTCTCCTCTCTGGCATGGACAGGAGTGGTTCCGCTGACATGGGATCACAATTCTGACATAGTTCAGAGAGCATAAGAAAACCCCCAAGCAGTTCGAGCTCCTGCTAGATGAACTCTGTACAGCACCATCAGCCGAAAGGCTGGAAGGCAGTTAACTGCCTTTACTAATTCTAGGATCCAGCATCCACCTTCTATTTATTTTTAAATTATCACCTCAGTGACCAGCAACGTAAAGTACTTGTATTGCACATGTGAAGTCATGGTTTTCATTTTCTGCATCTTACATACACACACATACACACACACCACCCTATTCGAATGAACATCTGGGTCATCAAACCACAAAGAAGCATCCTTGATCTATTTAGGTGTTGGTGCAAAGCTCTCTCTCTCTCTCTCTATATATATATATATATAATTATTATATATTATATATATATACACACATAAAGCATGATGGACGAGGGAAAATGACAAACACTAACTGTGGCCTCAGACTGGTTATCTAAGAAACTATAGCTTGTTGTTGTATTACCCCTCTACTTTTTGTTGAGATTACAGCTTGCGAGAATAGAGGCGGTAATAGAGGAGACTTAACAGTGATTGGGGGCCAGTGAGATACTTCAGGGTTAAAGGTGCTTGCCCTTCACCCAGCCACCCCTGCTGAATCACCAGTATTCAACGGTTCCCCAAGCAGCTCCAGATGTGACCCCCAAGCAAAGAGCGAGGAGGAGCTCCTGAGCTCCACTTGGGCATGGCCCCCTCTTCTCCAAAAAATGGAATTCCAAAATCAGTGTACAGAAGGAACGCTGTGTCAGTCTCCTCTTGCAAACTGTTGTCTTCTTAGCTCACTTCCTTCCTTTCATCACTGCCTTGGCAACCAACCATATCTTAATGTGACTGAAAGCACTTTGACCTGGTTGCAGTAAAATGTTTCTCAATTTCAACACCACCCCGCCACCGCACCCTATTACTCCACTAAGATTGTATGGCATACCTGCAGGAAGGTGGCTATTTTGATAGATGCAGAAATGTGGTAGAAATGTGGTTAGGAATGAACAACGATGGAGTGGTACCCATCTCACGGAAAACGGGAGTCAAAAACGTCTCTCCCATCCTTTATAAAAACAATCTTGAGGAGCATCTTATCCAGTGCCTTAAAGGCCCTCGTCCAGCAGGTTTAGGTCCACTTATGCAGAGATCATTTGGCAACACAGCCATCACTAGCCTTTTCCTCCTTCCCAATGTTCATTTTTGTATTCTATTGTGATCACTTCCCCAATTTGCATGCAAGCTACTTTTTAAAAAATTTTTTTTGGGGTCACACCCGGCGATGCACAGGGGTTACTCCTGGCTCATGCACTCAGGAATTATTCCTGGTGGTGCTTGGGGGACCATATGGGATGCTGGGACTTGAAGCCGGGTCAGTCGTGTGCGAGGCAAATGCCCTACCAAATGCTGTGCTATCACTCCAGCCCCCAAGCTACTATTTTTATTAAATGCTATTTTTTTTTTCACTTTTTGAGTCACACCCAGCGATGCACAGAGGTTACTCCTGGCCAGTGCTGGGGGACCATATGGTATGCTGGGAATTGAACCTGGGTTGACCACTTGCAAAGCAAAGGCCTTACCTGCTGTGCTATTGCTCCAGCCCCCAAAATGCTTCTTTTACTTTGGGTAGTTACAATATTGTTAAAACTTATAGTATTCACGTATCAAGTTACTACAAGTCTGCTTTTGGAAAAAACTGTGATTTGGATTTTTCTTTTTGGGTCACACCCAACGAAGTTCAGGGGTTACTCCTGGCTGTGCACTCAGAAATTACTCCTGGCGGTGCTCAGGGACCATATGAGATGGCGAGGAATTGAACCTGGGTCGGCCACGGGCAAGGCAAATGCCCTACCCTTCTCTGTTGCACTCCTGCTCCGGCCCCTCTTTTATGTATTTTGTCAATGAGGATGCTTTGTTCAAGGTTATATGGTGGAATGTAAGGGCATCGTGTATTTTTAAATTGCCCTATCTTAGAAATGTCTTCTTAAATAAAGCCGTCCTAAATTTTAGACCCTTCAAGTTCCACTTCAGGGGTGATTCTCCCTCTGGAAGCCCTCTTAAGAAATGGCTAATGTAATCTTTATGCACAGAGGGCCTTGGGGGTCAGTGGCAGGCTCACACTGGAGGTAGGACAGACTATTATCTTGCGTATATATCAAGCTAGATAGCCCCCCCCCCCCCACACACACTCTCCCAAGAGTAGTCTAAATCATACCACATCTTTAATTGTTCTTCCGAAAAACGTCCGTAAGTTTTCAAAATGTTCAGTTACTTTACAATGTCACCCTTCTCTACTGTCAGGTTTGAGATAGCTTTACTCTCACTTCAATATTTTCCCTGCTCAGTTAGATGGAAGCTTCAAATGTGAGTTAACAGAGGGGCATGGACAACTTAATCCCCCTCCCACTCCCAGGCCTCACATTCACAGCAGATACCTGAATGTTTGCTGAATGAATTTACTGTCTTGGCAGGCCTGTCAAGATTGGTTACTACTGAGAACTCAGACCTGTTTGATGCTTTTCATCAATCAGGATGAGCTACGTCCTAATGACAAGCTTACTGGATAAAAATGCAGATATGGTAGTGGTTTCTCGTTCCCACTGCGGGTCCAGCATGAAATCACCAGGGGAGTATGGTTCAGTCACTCAAGGATCTAGTCCTACTGAGGATACACCTCCACGCTCACCAAGACAAAAAATGAGAATACGAGAAACTGCATCTTGTCTTAAAGCTTCATTCGCAGGAACAGAATGTCCTCGACTCAGACTCCTTCTCCTAAAGTAGCCTGATAACTATGACGAACATCTTCATCTATTCTAAATCAAGTACCATTTAGGGAGGAACATGATTTCACCAGGGGAAAAATGCAGCAGGAATTCATTTTATACATTTTCAATACCTTCGCTCCTTAGATCACTTTTACAGGAGATGTGCTGACCTAAAAGTGGAGACTAGTACTGCACAGATAAAGAGTAAACACCAAGACAAAAGTATGCAGTTGCAAAATGGCCATTTATTGCCTACAGGGGAAGGGAGGGAGGGAGAAAAGGGGAAGTACACAGGAGCAAGGAAACAAGCACATATTTAGCCCTATACATCATGTGTGAGCAGTACCCAATCTCCAAAATGAAAAAAAGTATTTTGTCATCTGACATAGTAGTTAAGGTTCTTAAGCACCTCCCTTCTGAGCTGCCATAAGATTTGAAAGGCAGGTCTGCTTTGTTTAGTCAATGTTCACATTAATGAAAAAAAATACTACCACCCAACTGTGTCCTTTTACACGCACATTACATAGTGTCTATCATGAAAACACCTCAGCTGAGCAGTTGGTCAAGATTCAGACCCCATCGACTATTGAATTTTAATAAATAGAAAAATAAAGCAGCTGGTGATTTTGTCAGAGAGAACGTGTTCAACGTAGAACCACTTTCTCCAAGGATGACAGGTTGTTAAATGATCAGAACATCACAGAACCAGTCTATTAAACATTAAACACTAGTAAACTATAATTACATGGCACTTCATTAAATCTTCTAATGAAAAAAGTTTAAATTTTAAACCGATTATTAGAACACAGTAACAATTCGATTTAATGCTTGGATTCTTCTTAGGACAAAAGCAAAGTAAATATACAATCTAAACCAGAATTTGTTTTGGAATAGTATCAATAAAAAATGACCAATCACTCAAAGAAAAAAAAAATTAACAAAACCTCTTGCTTAATTTTAAACTTGTGTGCTTTGCTTTCCAACCACATTACAATTAGTTAACAAAAACACTTTATAGGCTACAGAATGAATCAGATGCAGAATGAGTTATTAATTTAATGCCAAGTAATTAAAATAAATGAACCCTTCCCCATTAAATTGTAAGTGGAGTGGAAGAGTCGATCTTCTCATGAACAATTAGTTGACACTAAATTTACGATTGAAACAAATTACAATAAAAGATATAACTTAACCATAGTGAATTTGCCCAACATCCTGGCCCTTTCAGAAAGAAAAGATCTGTACACACATTTTCTCTTAAAATAAAATTTTACTCCATACTACTCTCTCCAGAGACAAAAAAAAAAAAAAAAAGGCTGAAAAGTTCATCCTCGCCATAATGTTCCAAGTACTCTAAAGAATTCTATTCCCTAGCTTCTCTTAAACAAAAGATTGCTTGCATTTGGACAACTGTATGAATGCCCATAGTGCACTTCTCAGTGCTGCTGGTGTTTAAGAATTCGCCACTCACAACACTGAACAATCCCAGATCCAGTGTGCAGTAACTCAGCCGTCCAAACCCCACCCTCCCCCAACAGCTGGCAGAGCACCGCTCGGGAATTTCACAGGTAAGGGGACTTTTTTTTTTTTTTTTTTAGCAAGTTAAGCACAGGGGAAGGACAGTAGAGTTTCTAAATAAATACACACCCAGACTACTGCATCACTGAGTGCATCAAGACTTAAAACAGTAGGAAAATAAGCCTGTTCGGTAAGAAGCAAAGCCATCACTGACAACAACACTGAGCCAAATGTGAGTTAAAGAGAGAGAAATAAATGTGGTGCATTTCACCACTGATAGTTTGAAAGAAAATACATCATATATTAGTAATTATAAATACAAAACTGAAGCAAGAAAGGACCACTTCTGAGAAGCTTGCCATGATTCTTAAGCTTTAGAGTTAAAAGTTACAGACATACAAACAGGAAAATTATCTAAATTGGGGAAGATTGTTGTAACAAAAACCTACTACTAATAGCTGCAACTATGACTTCTGAAATTTCTGAAAGCAGAATGTACCATGCTACAGTGCCAAAAGTCATATTTATTGGCATTTGCATGCCATTTTCATAAATGTGATTTCTGATGACACAAACTTCTAGTATCAGTACAATGCTACTGAGTTTATACTATATGCCATAAAATTAACATTTAATAGACAGAAACGTTCCTATTTCATATAATTTCAAAATGGAAAAATATTTTACTTAAAAACATTCCATTACTTTATCAATGTAATGTCATGTTTGTTGAATACAACAAATTTAACATGCTTGGTTTCCTTTGGTTCCAAGAATAACTGGTCTAACCAAAACAAACTTATGCCAAAGAAACTACTAAATAGGTTAATAAAGCTTGATTTTCCTGGTATTTCTTGCTTGTAAGAATTGTGACTTAACAGGTAAATTTGCATAAAGAAAAAACTTGATAAAAACAAGAAGTAGGCATGTTTCTCCTTTAACCAACTTCCTGAAAAGAACTAGTTTTTATTTTTGAGAACCTTGTTCACAACATCCTGCAGTATGGGTATAGGTGCTTTCTTTTTACTTTTTTTTTTACCTTAAACTTTAAAGGTATTTATAAAATATTATTCTTTAAAATTAAAAATGCACTTGGCATTCTGTCCATACACAAACTACAACTTTGGCAAATAAGCCAGGTTAAAGATGTAATTTATCTTTGAAGTTAAATTTGGAGATTATAATTCCTTTAAAAAGTTAAAATCACAGAAGCAATCATTAGTATAAAAGTTCTTATCTGGCTACAAATTCAAACTTTTATTTGAAGTTCCTCACTTTGAAAATAGCCTAATTTCCCCTACAACTTAAAGTTTTATAAACATGATACTATTCAAAAGGAATGGGTCACAAATCAACATATTAGGAAGGTAATTTTTTTTCCCAAGGTAAAGGAAAATAAGAGCTAAAGAATGCCTTACAAACGTGAGATTTACATTTCTGTCAAAATATACTGAAGAGTGCTATTTTGAAAATGTGCCACAAATTCTTTGCATGGAAACATTATTTTTGTGGCCTGCCAAATGAACTGGAAAGCCGATGACGCTTTCTGTGACCAAAGCTACTGCTCCGTCAATGCATTTTACAAAATAATTAAACTCTTAGAAACTCAGAATATAAGATCTCAGAACAAATGAATACTGGGATAAAGTCCATCAAAGAACACAACCTATTTGTGCTTTCTCTACTTCTTTCTATTCGGTTTGAAAGTATAGATGGGATGGCATGAGTTAATCTGTAGAAACTCTTGGGACACGGAAGTACATTTTTTTCACTCATCTGACTATACTTTTAAATGGAGCACAACGTATTTGCCCGTGTTCCACATGCTCAATTCTAGTATGATCCCCCACAGAACTAAGTGATTTGACATGAGCCTCAGATAAGCTTTTAACTGTCTCACTGGCTTCTTTGTGATTTAACTGTGAAAACACCAAAGGAAGTGACAAGTAAGAAAAGTAGCTTTGTATTTCTGCAAACTGCAACATTGAAACAGTGGCCTCTTCAATACATTCACACAGGATGCTTGTTAGTAAAAATTAAATATTTGCCTATGAGTATCTGGAAAGCAATCTCAAAAGAGAAAAAAAGAGCTTTGAACAAGGCAAATGGGAGGGAGGGGGAAGCTGGTCTCAGAACCCATTGTGCCATACCTGACTTGAACATGTGATATTCAAATGAACGTTCACATGCCTTACATCGAAGAAATGAAACAAAAATATTCAGCTACATTGTACAAAATTTTTTTTTACAGAAACAGCATAAATCTTGAAGATTTACTCTATCTGAATTCTAAAAAGTTGCCTAGAGAATGGTGCTGGGATTCTGTTCTCTGCTTGCTTTTAGGCAGTGCTGTTGCTTAAAAGTTGACACCAGGCACGATATTTTAAAACAAAGTCACAAGCAAGGAGCAGTAAGTAGATTTGAGCCTTTCCCAGATGTCAGTCCTGAGGATGCTGCCGATACTCCCCATCAGATGTGTAAAGCTATGAGGCGGATACTAATGCCTGAGAGAGTGGGTGACTTGACATGCACTTGCGTGACTGTTCTAATGGCCAACAGTGCAGTTTTCCCTTTCTCAAACAACACTGTTTAATAAATTTAAAGAACACTCCAGTTTGTCGACAAGTATCAAGAAATCATATGTAACAGTAAAAATAAGCACATTGTCACAATCGAAAAATGCCCAAATTTTCACCTTCAGATAAAATATGCAGCAGCCCTATGGCATAAAGCTTATTATAAACGTATTCTGAGAACTAGAAAGCATAGGAGCATAAATATTTCACTTTCATTGAATAGATAATAGATACCGTATGTCATTCACCTCTTCCTTTTGGCTTCTCACTGCCAAAGTTCAAAATGGCATGCGTTTTAACAAGACAATACTGAGGAGAGCAGCATTTCTGATCATCTGAATTGGCAGCTCAAAACAGATACCACTCCTTTTACAAAGGGAACACAGGGTGAAGGGTGTATGAAATTTGGGCAGTGGGCCGAGGGAAAACCGTGCACATGAAATTTGGGTTACCATGCCCCAATGTGTGTGCCACCGAAAACAGAACACAATTACCTACGTCAACGGAGCTACTACCAACATTTACTAAAACCACATTAAAAATACACAGGATCATGAATGGTTTGAAAGAGTGCAGTTGGAAGCAGAGAGAACCCAATACACACCTTCCTGCAACAGAGTGCCTCGATCATACACAAAATAAACTTAAGCTGTTTACAATGTTTCCCATTTTTTTTTATTTTTTCCCTCTACATTTAACTATTAAAAAAGTTTTTATTAATAAATGGGCTCCTCTGTGGTTCATATACAATCATAAGTGAACTTTAAATTCCATTTTATACAAACATCTCAAAAAATATTGGGAGTGAAGTATGGTAGGAAATATTGCTCACATTGCTAATTAACATGCTTTTATGAAAAGGAGGAAAATGTTTGTTAGTGCATATACCTCCAGAGCAGAAAACCCACCCAAAACAAAAGGTTTAAAATAAAACATACAGTAGCTGATTACAAAAAAAGGTAATGTCCACAAAATTAAGTTTTTCATGCTATTCTACTTTCCAGTACTATGCTTCAGGTAATCAATTTGCATGGCTAGATGTCGAATGCTTGAGGTATATAAGAAGGGATACCTGCACATTGAGGAAAACGTCATCTTAAAGGTTGTCTCTTTGTTCTGGTACTTTAACATTTTTAAAAGACTATTGTATTTACAACCAGCTTCACTCAACTACAATGACATTCCAATTATAATAGATGACACACAATGCCTCTATCACTAGGCACTTTTAAAAGGGAGTTTAGGCTTCACAGAACCCTTCTGATGCAATCCCAGATATGATATTACATCATCCCACCACCCTCATCCCACTAAAATTACCCTTTCAGGGGAAATATCTCATAGAGCCTGATTCATTTACTATGGGAGAAATTAGTATAAAATGACCAAAGGAAATGCATCATTTAAAACTAATAAAACAGCCTAAGATGTCAGGTTGGAAAGAGGAAACAAATTGTATATATTTAAAACTAATTAAATAATTTAAATTTGACCTGTACTTTATATATTACTGAGACACAAATATAGGCTATTTTCTTTTAAAATTTCATTCACATAATGGAAAATTTCTTGTTTATTAAAAATATCACATTTTGAGACTAGAAACAGTAAAGTGCATGAAAAGTTTAAAATATAAATTTCAGAAACTCTTATAGCAGCAAAAAAGCAGAATAAAGAAAAACTTAAAAACACAGACACAACCTTTTTCTGTTACTGTGCCATAATTAGCATCAAGTAGCCAACCAATTTTTCCCCCAGAAAATGATATTACTTTCACTGCCTCTTGAGTCACAGATTTTCAACTGGCCCCTCTCCTGGGCAAAAAAGGATTCAAACATATTTAAAGAGCATCAACAGTTGGGAATAAACCAGTAGCTTCTTAATTCAACCCTGACAGACAACGGAAACAAAGATTAAAAGCATATAATGGCCATTTGGCAACTAGAGTCAGGAAAAAATGATCAAAGGTTTTCGACTACTGTTTTTTCTCTGCCCCAAATCCTTTCTACTGTTACCTCAAAAACCCAAAACCAAAAATGATTTGACCTACAGTTTGGAAAGCATATGGGTATTTGTGATCTTCCACTTTTAAAACTTTAATCAGGGCCTTTTTGGATCACTAGTTATTTAACATTTGACCGTAAGAGCAAAAATTATACAGATCATATAAAATCTGTTCTTCTAGCACAGCCAGGCAGAAGAGGGTAGATGAAAATAATGAAAAATACTAGACACTAATTCTGTGAGCATCCTAAACATACCAAATTTTATTTTCAAGACATGTGGCAGTATATTTTACCTGCTGTTTCCCTATTTAAAAAATGGAGGAGACAGAATTAATTTTCTAATAAGATTATAACCATTAGGGAAACAAAATACAGAGTGATTCTTAAAAAAAAAAAAACAAAAACAAAAATAAATACAAAAACACCAACCAGCATTTTGTCCAATAAACTGTCATGTGCTATTAAATGCTTGATTTTGAAAGCATATTGTGCAACCATTTCTAATTTCTAAATTTTTCTTAGTATGACTAGAGGCAATATCATAGTTTATGTTCAAATCTAGCAAATTTAAGTGCTCTGTTACTGTGCAAATGACTTGGGAGCTCAAAATAAGACTGCTATAATGAAAGAAAAAATTGAAGTAAAGTTTTCCCTGCAAGGCATGCCACCATTTTAAAGTTTTGTATTTGTAGCTGTTTTAAATTGCCTTTTACAAAAATGGTTGGCTCATCTGCAATCATTCGAAAAAAGTATTTGCTAAAAAAAAAAAAAAGAACAAATATACTGTTGTTGAGCCGCAAATTGATGATTTCTCAATTAGGAATGCTAACTTCATATAACAGGAAAAAGATCCAATTTAAAAAGACACATTAAGTAAAAAATTTGGAAAGAGTTAATACTTTGGTTCCAGCCCTAGTGCCAAATGATACCAAAATGCACAAAAATGTACAAAATTTTACAGCAAACACATAATGAAAGGAACCTGAAGAAGCAGCTTAAGGATGGCCATACTTCACTCCTACATACTTTGATTTACAACTGTACAGGTCCATAGCAACAGATCCCCGTCCTTGCGGGGCAGTACTCCACTACCTCCGATTAGGCAAGTGAACACCATTGACAAGAGGCAGGAGTGGAGGGTGGAGTTCAAGTTGTGTTAACAGTGAGAAGTGGTCTGAAGGGATGTGAGGGTGTGGACACCCAGTGATGTTGTTCTCAACCAGCCATTGAGGATCTAAAGGCCCCAGGACACCAAGCACGTTCATATGAGTCTTGGAATAGAAAATGTAGTCAATCACGCCCTGGAAAGAGATGAGGGGGAGGGGGGAAATAAATGATTAGAAAAAAGAAAAATTTTAGAGCAATCCATAATTTGCAAAAAAAACAAAAAAACAGAATAACCTTTAATTCTGATATCTATTATAGTCCTGACAATGGGTGAACTAAGGCTTTTTTTCATCAATATTAAATAAAATAAAACTGACTTAATAGGGAAATACAGTACTCTCCTAGAAAGATAAAATCTTGCATTTTACATATAAGATAAGCAAAACTGAAGAGTCAAAACACCAAATCTTATCTAGGCATTTTTACAGTTGACTTGTTCTAGTTAGTGAAATCTTACCAATATACATCCTGGAAATTACACTAAATCCACCAATTAAACATAAGCAGAAAATAAAATATCTGTATATAAACATACATGGTAAATAAAAATATTTATTTTGGTTTTGGTTTAGAATATTCTTATTTGAACAATGTGGTATCACTGGTACATCTGAACTCCTTGCTACGTAACAATACCTTAGGGAAAAAAGGGCAGGGATATACATCAGTTACATTTCTCAGACCTAGAAGATTTGGACTGTCTCCTGTCACTGTCCTTCCATTGTTCATCAATTTGCTCGAGTGGGCCCAATAACATTGTGGGACTTCTTACTGTGTTCGGCATATCAAATACATCATGGGGAGCTTGCCGTGTGGGAGAGATATTCTCAGTAGCTTGCCAGGCTCTCCAAGAGGGGCGGAGGAATCAAACTCGGGTTGGCTATGTTGGCCGCTTGCAAGGCAAACACCCGACCCGCTGTGCTATCGCTCCAGCCCTGGACTGTCTAGTAAGTTTCAAAACTTGTGTCATTTAATTACTCTTGGTTGCACGTGAGAGAGAGTAAGGCAAATTAGTTTCTTACCTACATCAAGAGGACCTGAGTCTAAGAATGAGAAATAATTTGATATGAAAATACCTCTTTACAAATACTATTCAGAGTTGAGTTACAGCTAATATTTTAAGTGATATCACAGTGAAATGGACCATTTCAAAATTTAATGAAATTTTTTATTGGGCTAGAGCAAAAATACAGTGAGTAGGATGCTTGTCTTGCATGTGGGTGACTAGGGTTCGATCCCCAGCACCACATTTGGTTCCCTGAACCCCACCAGAAGTGATCTCTGGGCGCAGAGCCAGAAGCAAACTCTTAGCACTGCTGAGTGTGGCCCCCAAACAAAAGAATTTATTGTAAAATTTTACAAATAAATTACACCATTTACTAATTTTGACATGACCACAACCAAAATAAGAAAAACAGTTCTTTTGAAGAAGGGGTCTTATTCAAAATTACTTTACTATACAGTAAAGAACTTATTTGGGTCTAGGCATTTATATTCCAAGTACAAATAGTTAAGAAGTATATTAGTAAAAGATATCAGAGTTTCATTCTAGCTAATGCCGAGCTTCGCAATGACATTTTTGGAAGAGTTAACAAGGATGGGGGGGGGGGGGAGGGGGGAAGCTAACTTTTCAAAAAAAATTTAAAATAAAAAAGCAAAAGAAAACCACCACAATGATCAAGATGGTTTTAATTTGAACCGTAACATAATAACACAAAATATTCCCAGTTGCTTATGTTGAGTAAAACTATCTCTTATTTTATTAGACTGTCAATACGCACATTAGCTGTCAGTGCTATAGAAACCTTTGCAAACATCGGCTCCATGAAACTAGCCCAACAGTCCATGGGTGGCCATCCTGTTGGCAGAGAAACAGCCCAGCACCACATCTCCAGAAGATGATCCAACTGAATCCTCCCAGGCACACTGGTCTGGGCGGAGAACTCGGGCCTTCTTGGAACGGGGTCAGGCAGATTTCCCTTTCTGCTTGAAGGCCCGGCAGCCCCCACCACACCTGACCCCTCCGAGGTAGAACCAGCCCAGCTCCGCAACTGAACCTCATCAAACTGCCAAGCCAACCAACACATTGTTCCAGATCTATAGCTCCCGGCCCGTGCAGCTGCACAGACACCTCCAAACTTCACAGTACTGTCAGCCCCGTCTAATCACAGCAAATCCAAATGCAAAGTTGCACAGAAGCCCGTAAGCTCGCTGAGCCTGAGCGATAACACAGAAGACTCAACTAGCACAGAGCAGCACCGCGGGTCCTCAGATCATGACTTGAGTAACATCACAGCGTGCGGTAACAATGATCACAAACTGACTCTTAGTGACTAGAAGTTTTGAAAGTCCCATTTGCCTTTGTGTTATAACAAACAAAATGAAGCAAGTCTGTGCCTGCCTCCAAGGGAACAGGCTGGGATCGTGGGTGAGAAACTGGTTGGAGGGAAGGGCTCGCTGGTGGTGGAACTGGTACTGGAATGTTTGATGCCTGAAACAAATGTATTCTGAACAACTTGGTAAATCACAATAGCATAATAATTAAAAAAAAACAAAAAAAAACACCATTCCATGGGCCAGAGAGGGTAAGACACCTCCCTTGCAAGCAGCCAACCTGGCTTCCATTCTACATATCCTGGGCAATGCCGGGAGTGACCACGGAGCACAGGCGGCTGTGCCCAATGCCCAGCTTCAAAAAAAAAAAAAGTGAAACACTTCAGAAACAAAGATGTACTTAATTAGAGGCCTCACTCATCCTAGGTCCTTGACTTTCAGCCCCCAGAACGCTAAGAAATGAATTTTGCTTGTTTTTAAATTCACACCGCTTATGATACTATTCCAGAGCTTAAACTCACCATGACACCTCATCTGCCAGAGTAAATGCACACTTCAGTTCACTCCCAATCAGTTCAAGATTATGGGAGTTCTACATGTTTTAAGTTATACAAGGGCCCAAGGACTGGAGGGATAGCACAGCGGTAGGGCATTTGCCTTGCATGCGGCTGGCCTGGCCCACCCGGGTTCAATTCCTCCGCCTCTTTCGGAGACCCAGCAAGCTACCAAAGAGTATCTCGATATGCCAAACAAAGAAACAACAAGTCTCACAATGGAGACGTTACTGGGCCTGCTCGGGCAAATCAATGAACAATGGGAAGACAGTGATACAGTGCTACAAGGGCCCAAAACAAATGCCAGGTCAAGTAGACAAAATGTAATACCCCATGCAATGGTATGCAGTGGTAGGGGATGGTTTTGGATCTGTTTAATGTCTCACATGGTGTTTCTGTATTCAATGTTACCTGCCTTTTCTTACTGACTACCTTCAGTACTGGTATAGCACTAGTTACATAACATACATTGTACAAAATTAAAGAATTCATTGTTATCCTTGAATAAAAACTTAAATTCTCTTTATTCAAGTGTGCTTTGTCCTCAAATCAACTTTTCCATCCTTCCTTTCTTCCATTCCACTCTCCCATCGCATCCATCTACCCAGTCAGCAAATTTATCTCCCCATATATCTCATCCCATATTTATAACTCTATATTATCCTCTCGCACATTATCCAAACATCACACTCAACCATGCATTCTGGGGTCTTTAATTACATTTTAGCAACCGAAATTATACAGTAAAATTTTTTGTTCAGTTATTAACATCTGTAAGATCTTCTGAAGAAACAGAATTTAATAATAAGATGATTGAAGTCAACAGGTTACATAAATATTTTTATTTTGTTTTTCTAAATTTTACTTTCTAAACAAGGCAAAAATAACTTGAATAAAGGCTCAGATAAAGCCAAAATAATTAGGCCTTATTTGGTACGGAGGGGGGAAACAGTGGGTGATGCTCAAGGGTAATTCCTGGTGGTGCTCAAAATTAGACCATGGTTGGCAGAGAGCACCACCAGCATGTTAACCTGTGTATTATCTCTTTGCTCCCATTTGGTCTTTTTAACCAAATCACATACATACCAAATAATTATAACAGTTGTAGAATAGCTGAAAACGTATTTTAAGGAGCTTTATGATTCAAAATCTGACTGATTCATAAGCACCAGGAGGTCTTATCCGGGGAAATGAAGGCAGGTGGGCTGAATTTCCCTCCCGCCCCAGCAGAACCCTGGCAGTTCAAATCCTCCAGAATCCAACCACAGTCATGCTCAAGGCCACTCTCCACAGGCTCGGACGAGCCTTACCTATGAGAGCACAAAAACCCAGATATGCGGGACCCGTGCCTGAGATCTCCAAGCTGGCTCAGAACGGGACTGGCTCTCCTTCCCCCCCCCCCCCCCCCCCCCCGCTCCTTAGTTTTCCAGTAGCTTGGCAGTCACACCCACAAACTGCCCCTTGGACTATATAATCTCATCAATGCCAAAATTCAGAAACTATGAAATAAAACTCCCGGAAAAGAGCGGCACAGAATGTCCTGAACCACTTATACTCCAGCCCTCTGATGTACCAAAAGTTGCACACATTTGTTTGCGTTTAACATACATGCTTGCAATCTCTTATACAAGGGCTTAAATGCTCCAGGATGAAATTCAACAATCTTCACACACTTTCCTCTTATGATGGTGGGAAGGTGCACGGTGGTGGGATTGGTGTCTGAATATTAACTGTAATAACTATTGTGAATACTTTATAAAAATAAAATTTATGATTCAAAAACCAGTAAGATCAGCATATGAATTTCCTTTCTTCTAAGGATAAACATAGGATAAGATCACTAACGTTTAGGACTTTGAGTAACTGAATGAGGAAATGCAATCATTTAAAGGGGGTTACCTAGATCACCCAGCCCCACAGTATAGGGAGACGAAAAGAAATAGTGTGAAGGGAAAGGGGAGAAGAGATAGATCAGAAGCAACGGGGGCAGGAGTCAAGGGGAACTCAGGTATATTGGTGATGTTACAGAATGATAGAGCAGAGTCGACAACACTGAAATCATGAGACCCAAATTTGACTAATCAAAATTAAAAGATGCCTGTCAACATATAAAGCAGGCTGAGGTTAGGTCGGGGAGAGGAAATCTGGGAATACCAGCGGAAGCTGACACTAGTAGCAGGATCAATGATGGAACATTGTCAAAAACCCAGCTACGAATCCACTTCGTAACTCACAGTGCTTTCATAAAATTTTGGAAAACAAAAATTTCTTTCTTCTTCCTATTCATTTCTGGGAAAGGGGCTAACACAACACCAAGAATAGAAAAAGGATAATGGCAATGTATGAATACATTTCATAAATTTCCTTTGACTTTTAATATTAAATTCTCCCTAGATTTTCTTACTGATTTGTAACAACTGCACTTTTTTCAAGTAGTGTAACATTTTTGTGTAGATGGCTAGAATGTCAGAAAATTGGGGCTGGAGAGATAGTAGGTAGGGTCCTTTCCTTGCATGCAGTCAACCCCAGTCTCATTCCTGACACACTGTAGAATGATTTCTGAGCAAAGCCAGTAGTAAACCCTGAGCACTGCCAGGTGTGATGGAGTGAGGGGTAGAGTGAGGTTGCTATTAAAAAAACGTACTGTTAAAGCTACAGGCAGATACCGTCAATAAAAAAAAAACTCGTAGAGAGAACAAGATTAAATAGGAAGCCGTTAATCATTTAAATCATTAATCATTCTTTTTCTAAACAAACAACTGGTCTGCACTGGGACCTCTAATTTTTTTTCCTTCTTTTTCAAGTTGGAGTATTCTACTGCCTAGGAAAACATTAGTAAAATGATACAGATATAAAACAAATTTAAGAACAACACATTTTAGCACTCTCCACTAAACAAAACTGAAAATTCTATTAAGTTAAAAATCAATGCAGAGTATGAAGAAAATTTTGCCAAAACATGTAAGTTCATTCAAGACGAGTTAAAGGTTACATCCTTATTTGAATCCTTAAAGATAGGGGTGATATGGACAAGTTAAGACTAACTATATTAATAAATGTAAAATATATGTGTATATATGTATAAGTATATGTATATATATATATGTGTATACATGTATATGTATATATATGTATGGGGGGGGGGCTGGAGCGATAGCACAGCAATAGGGTGTTTGCCTTGTGCACAGCCGACTCGGCTGACACGGGTTCAATTCCTCTGCCCCTCTCGGAAAGCCCGGCAAGCTACCAAGAGTATCTCGCTCACACGGCAAAGCCTGGGAAGCTACCTGTGACATATTCAAAATGCCAAACACAGTAACAACAAGTCCCACGATGGAGACGTTACTGGGCCCGCTCGACAAACTGATGAACAATGGGAGGACAGTGTTACAGTGTGTATATGTGGCCACATATTTAAAATAATTTTTACATTGCCCCAGAGATTGTCACTCACTTTGAAATCAAAGGTGTAATTGGTATAAGGCATCAAGTTATTTTCATAGGCGCTCTTCAGTTGGAAGCCATGCGTGATTCTCCCTTCTGAGCTTCCATTCTTTCCATTGCAGCTGAAATTCATAAGACACTCATTGTACCTTAGTTCCTTGAAGTCTTTATGGTTGTCAGCTACTCCTCCATTGCTTAAATATTCCACAACACCTGGTAAAGTACAAAATAAACACTACAATTTAGCATTTAGATTTTACAGAGATGTTGTGGCCCAAATTCAATGCCAGGTGACTGGACCATATTCAAGTGGCGTATGAATACTGCTCATTTTTTGCTGTTTCAAATTTTAAAAATCAAATTATCCGGGGCTTGAGAGATAGTACAGTAGGTAGGGTGCTTGCCTTGCAAGTGGCTGGCCCCGGTTAGATCCCTGGGACCGCATATGACCCAGGAGTCTGCAGGAAGTGACTCCTGAGACAGCAGGGTCAGTAGTGAGTCCCGAAAACCACCTGGAATGGCCCCAAAACAAACAACAAAACTTAAATAATGATCTCATATAAGAATTTAATCAAACTGAAGGGTATATGCTTATCTGCAGCAAAATATCAGAATCACCCACAAATAGCCTCACTTTTCTTAATGGTTCTTCAGATTAAAGATTATTTGCAAGGAGTAAAGCTCAGCAGTAAAGCATAGGTCTTGTTTTATATGAGGCCGTGGGTTCAAGCCCAGTAGTACCAGAGAAAAAAATTATTACCAAAGCTTACAGTGTCAGTGACCGGTCTTGACTTTAAAGGCTCTTAGAAGATGCTCTCAGAGCATCATCTCTTTAGTATTTCAGGATGTTTTGCAACCAATTATGTGGGAAATATATAAATTATAGCATATGCCATCAAAAACTTTTAAAATATGCCAAACACAGTAACAACAAAGTCTCCAATGGAGACGTTACTGGGCCCGCTCGAGCCTTTTAAAATATATTTTTAAAAATATGGCCCTTCCACACTTTAATGTCAGCTTAAGGTAGGCAATGATTATTTTGAGCAAGACAGAGTTTTTTCATTTTTCATTCTAATACCATAAAGAATATTTTACATTAGGTAATGGTTTTCAATCACTCATTCAGGGACTGGTACAGGTTTTACTAGTGTAAAAAAGCTAAAAACCAGTGCAATTGCAACATACTTAAGTACATAGTACCAATATTCTGTTTTGTTCTGAGGCCACACCCTACTGTGCTCAGGGCTTACTTCTAGCTCTGAGCTCAGGGATCACTCCTGGCAGGCTCAGATGGGGTGCTGACAAGGCCAGCACCTTAACTCTCTCTGGCCTCTGAAGTATTCTTTTTTGAATGATCCTATTCAGTCTTTCAGACACATCTAATCCTAAATTGTAATGCCAATGAAAGCTCACAGGCTTAAACAAATCAGATGAGATAAGGGTAATTTGTAGTAAGTAAACTCAAGGAAAAAGAATTAAGAAAAAACTTGCCTTTTGCTGCATAGAACATAAACCCTAAATGAAAAAATTAGAAGGAGAATGCAAATACTAATAACACTGCTCAAATATGGGATATAAAGAAACTAAGAGAACAAAGTTCAAACAAAATAAATCCCCTTGGATTCTGACTAAAGAATTGAGTTAGCACAGTGGACTGTAGTAGGTAGAGAATTATACTTAGGAGGTGGCCCTGGTGTAAAAAATGCATCTGAAAAAGTATCAATCTCTCTATACTCCTAACAATATATACAGTGATATAAACCAGGAGTACCTTCCCCAAAAAATTGGGTGCATAAAAATAAGTAAAGAATTAAGAAACAGGGACATGGTAAGGTGTCACTGAGGTTTCAGGCTAAAAATTTTGTTAAAGGATTACAGTTTCTATGCAAAGGAAAAAAGATGTTTTCTAGTTTTGTGACCTTTAAAAATATTAGAACTCTTAGCATTTATTTCATATTCCCTGTAGAAACTTTTAAATATTTTGAAATTTTGAAACAACTGGAAATAAAAAAAAGTTTAAATTATGAACTGATAATAGTAAATGAAAGAACTTTTAATTTTTTATCTCTGAAACTTGGTATCTAAAACACAGAGCTAATTTTTAATAATGGTCTAAGATTATGTTAGGGAAAAAGTAGTTCAGTAGAACTTAAGCAATACTTGAGAATCCCAGGAGAATGCTGATTACTCTCCTGTACCTTTTACCAGGATTCAATTAAATTTAATGAATTTACTTAGAAGTTAGGCTGGAGCAATAGCACAGCAGGTAGGGCGTTTGCCTTGCACATGGCTGACCGAGGTTCGATTCTTCCATCCCTCTTGGAGAGCTTCGCCCTCACGGCAGAGCCTGGAAAACTACCCGTGGAGTATTCGAAACGCCAAAAACAGTAACAAGTCTCACTTCGTGTTCCTGGAGCAAGCAGACGCCATTGGGCTACACTAGCACACAACAGGGACGAATGGAGACATTACTGGTGCCCGCTCGAGCAAACCAATGAACAACAGAATGACAGTGCTACAGTGCTGCTTAAAAGTTGCCCTATTATTAGAACTAGGCAGCTACCTGTGCTGAACACTATCTGCTGTCTCTTCAGACCATCTTCCCTCCTATATCATTTCTCAGAAGATGATCTCTACTTTCCAGTTGCATTTAGTTGTAAGAATTAAGAACAGGAAGGAGGTGAGAGGCCAGACGCAGAGTGAGATAGGGTTATGGATCCCCTGGCTTCCTCTTTACTGGTTAGTCAAGGATCAATCAACTTAAGATATTGCTCTTGTGATGTGGCCCTCTCCTTCTTTCATTTTTTCCAAGTTCTGGTAACAGTTCTTTCCACTTTCAATGTAGGGGTGAGAGTCCTAGGAGTCGGAAGGCCAGCTAGCTCCTAATCTTTGGTACTGAGGTTTCCAGGTACTGAGTTATTTAAGTCTTAAGATGAATTTCTTCCCACATGCTTTGCAAAAAAGAAGCCAGGTTCTATCCTTGGCATCACATGAGTTCCCACTGGGAATGGCACCTGCATACTACTGGGTGTGCCCTATCCAGAAAAGCAATGAGAAGTGCTGTTACAATTACCTGAATCTGGCAATGAGTTAAGATCTGCACATAGCACCAGCGGGATGGAATTAGGATCTGCAGTTGGGCTGCCAGGCCTACTAGAGGCTTTCTCCAGAATGTTTTTAACCTCTGAGACAAACATCATGGTCTGGATGAGTTTCACATCAGAATACTCTGGGTCCCAATGCATGTGGGCATTAGCCACGATAAGCAGCTGTTTGTCTGCAGCATGAATAGGCTTCATACCTAAAGTTAAACATTGGAACAAGGATAAGGTTATTATAGTGAAGGGCAGAATATCTTGAAGTTGTCTCCCAAAACCCACAGCCACAGCTTTACTTTTCCCCATTGATTTTTATTTCCCCTTCTATCTACTAAAGCAGTCCTTAGAAGCTAAAATGCTCAGCTTCTGGGGCCAAAGCTATGGTATAGCAGGTAAGGCACCTGCCTTGCATGCAGTAACCCGGGTTCAATCCCCGCACCCATGTAATCGCCTGAGCACCACCAGGAGTGATGCCTGAGCACAGAGCCTGGAGGAGCAAGCCCTGAGCACTGCTGGGTAAGGCCCAAAAAACAAACGAAATTAAGTGCTTGGATTCTGGGAATACAAAAGAAAGAAATTATTCCCAAAGATAAGTGTCAGCAACAGTAGCCCATTTCTGGTTACGCGTGTGGCGCTGGAACAACATACACTTGAAAAGCATAACAGACAGTGCCGTAAATCCCAAATGCCTCAAAAAAAAAAAAAATGGTTTGAACAAATGAACAAATAAAAAACAGTAATCTATAGGCTACATTTGGCATGCCACCTGTTTTTCAATACATAATCTTGGTCTGGTGTTACATTTTTTAAAGAGTCTACCAAAAAAAAAAATGTTAAGTTTGATAGAGACCATATGTAGCACCACCACAGCCTGAAATGTTAATACTCTGGCTCTTTACAGAAAGCTACAGACTCCTGCTCTGTGTCCAAGTTAGGCATCACAGTGTGATATAATCAACACTTTATTATAGTATCTTAATTTGCTGAATTCTTGGTGTAAAGGAACACTTGATCGCTACCCTTTAAATATCATAATAACCTACTGAGGCAGGTTTCCAGGTACTGAGTTATTTAAGCCTTAAGATGAATTTCTTCCCACATCTAGTACTTTCTGTGCACATTAGTGACAGCACATCAGTAGTAAGAGGCAGTAAAAATAAGGAAGTCAATTTGCTACCTAAATTCATAATACAGACCCAAATAAAGTCATTTTTTAAACGATAAGTAGTTGTGTGCTCTCAAAATGAGAACTCTTGGTAAAGATTTAGCCCTGGTTTTTATGACTACTTAGTGTGGGTTTTGAGCCTGGCACTTATCCTCTGGATGGTTGGGTTCATTTAAACAATGAGATACTCAAACAGAAAATTTTTAGATTATCTGCACCCTCCCTGCCCTGCCCCCCAAAATGTGTCAAAATAAATAGCAGATAGGGATAGTAAAATACATTAAAAACTGTTAGAATTAAACTTAGTTAACACGTACTGACAAAGATGTAAGGCAAAAAACTAATATGCATGACGGTGATTAAAACCACACATATATTCTATATGTTGGTAATGTGTAAAGAAAATAAGAGCTACTCTGAGGGTACCAAGGAGACAAGGAGACTCGTTTACTTTGTATTGCTGGAATAGTAGTACAGACACAAAACTGATCTTGCTACTGAAATTTCCATAGAAATACCTCTTAAATATTTTACTAAAATTATAAACTGTGTAAAACAAACAGAAAACAACCAATTTTTCTAAGTCTACTAGTTTGGTGAGACTTCCTTCTAAAACTGTATCTTCAATGTTGAGTAAACAAGTAACTAAAGCACTTACTATATGTGACAGAAATAACAATAATTTTAAAATCAATTAGATAAGATAAAAACTTAGGCAAAATTATCTAAGCTGTCCGCTTCCGAGAAGCATCATCTTCAGTTATAAATTTTACTGTATTAAATATTGAAAGCCTGCCCCCAAGAATTGATGTATAGAACTGAGTTTACAATGGTGGAGACCAGGAAAGGGGAAGGAGATGGGAACAGGTAGAGACGGGAACATGCTGGTGGAGGGTGTGGTACTGGAACACTGTATTTATGCAACCATTAACAGAGTTGCAAAGTAATAAAAAGTCTCCCCAAGCACAAAAGTCCTGGCACAGATGAATTCACCAGTGAATCCTTCCAAATCTTTAATGAGGACTTACTCCCAATCCTCTTTTAAGCTTTTCCACGAAACTGAAGTATCAGAAACACTTCTGAACAGTTTCTATGAAGCAAATATCACCCTAATACCAAAAGCAGACAGAGATACCACAAAGAAAGAGAATTACAGGCTGATATCCCTGATGAATACAGATACAAAGATCCTCAACAAATTATCAGCCAATAGAATCCAACGTCTCATCCAAAAAAATCATATCCCATGACCAAGTATGATTCATCCCAGGAGGCAAGGATAGTTTAACATTCGCAAGTCAATCAACATAATTCATCATATCAATAAAAGAAATAAAAACCATATGATCATATCAATAGAAGCAGAGAAAGCATTTGACAAGACCCAGCACCCATTTATGATGAAAACACTCAGCAAAATGGGCATCGAAGAAAATTTCCTCAATATAGTCAAAGCCATCTACAAGTGCAAGGGAAGTATCATTCTCAATGGGGAAAAACTAAACACCTTCCCTCTAAGATAGGGAACAAGACAAGGTTGCCTGCTTTCACCACCCCTATTCAATATAGTACTGGAAGTCCTGGCCATAGCAGTTAGGCAAGAAAAAGATATCAAGGGTACACAGATAGGAAAGGAAGGGGTCAAGCTATCACTATTTGCAGATGATATGATACTATACTTAGAAATCCCTAAGGACTCTACAGAAAAGCTCCTAGAAAGAATAGGTCGGTATAGTAAAGTGGCAGGTTACAAAATCAACACCCAAAAGTCCATGGCAAATACAAATAACGAAAGAGAAGAAAGAGACGTTACAAAAAACAATCCTGTTCACAATAGTACCTCAGAAAATCAAGTACCTCGGAATCAGCTTAACCAAAGAGGTGAAGAACCTATACAAGGAAAATTACAAAACACTACTTCAAGAAATAAGAGAGGACACTAGGAAATGGAAACACATCCCACTGCCAGGAGTAATTCCTGAGTGCATGAGCCAGGAGTAACCCCTGTGCATTGCTGGGTGTGACCAATAAATAAATGAATAAATAAATAAGTAAAATATTAAGTCTTCTAAGATTAAAATAAAAATGTCAGAATATGATAGTGTATACTATATAATTTATAATCATTTTTCTCCAAATCAAAAGTAAAATTCAAAAAATGTAATTCTGTTTTCAGATTACCTAGAAAGTGTCAAATTTTGTTAAGAATGAGACTGGGTGGGGGGCGGGGCGACAGTACAGTGGGTAAAGTGTTTGTTTTGCATGTGGCCGACCTGGGTTTGATCCCTGGCAACCCATATTGTTCCCCGAGCACTGTCAGGAGTGATTCCTGATTGCAAAGCCAGGAGTAACCCCTGAGCCTCACTGGGAGTGCCCCAAAAAAAGGCAAAAAAAAAAGAATGAGACTGGGAAAGGACATACAGAAAAATAAAAATAGAATGGCTAATTTTTTTAAAAAAGGAAATTGAAAATCTCATTTTAGTCTTTGGTGATGGGTAAACTGCAGAATAGTGAGAAAAGGAGACTGACAAGATTTGCATGATTTGAATTCGAGGTTTTCAAAATTATCTAGTCTACTGTCTGCCTCCTTTTCAAGGAAAAACATAACAAAACTGACAAACCGCTTAGCATCCCACTTGGAAATCTTTTAAAACAACAGGAAGCATTGCCCTCTCCCCCAATTGCACCAGCTATTATTCACTCCCTAAAGAGCCAGTGGCATTGCACAATTTTGGAAACATTAGTTTGAATAACACAAATGTATACTCAAGGCAAAAACTTTTCTTTTATAACAAAGTACAGGGAAAAAGTCCAAGTAAACAAGGAAATGCTCAAAGACAAGAAGTGAAAGGGAGGAAATCGCAAGGAAGGTCTGAATATGCAAAGCACATTAAGTTTCTGACTTTGAAGAAGCTATAAATAATCTAAAATGTAAAAGTATCATCAGGTAGATAAAAGATACTGCTTTTTCCCTGACAATGACTGAGATATAACAAAGAAGCTAGAGAAAATGTGCCAAGTACTTAACCTTAAAGACAAAAAGATTTCACAATCAAGAAGCTAAAAATACAGTTAAAAAGAGAACCAAGTCATCATAATTTCCAAATTCAGCTCAACAAAAACATTTCCTATTTAAAATAACCTTTGAAACAGCATATTAAGGACTTTCCTTTTTATAGATTACCTAGTAATAACCCAAGAAACTTATGCTTTGTACAATTAGTGCTATTTCCTGCTATCTCCCCTTAACTTTTCTCCAAAGCCAGTAACTATGCAATAAATAAGTGCAAGTATTTGCACTTGAGACAGTGTTTATTTTTAGAAAGAGTACTTAAATTGACTCACCTGCTCCAAATAGTTCTTTGTGGACCTCTAATACCACAGCAACACCAATATTATCTTTTGTCATTACTCTGTTTAGCATAGCTTCGGATCCATCTGAATTAGCCATTGCCACTTGGTTAAATTCCACTGTATGTTTCTGCACTAATGTAAATCTAAAAGACACAAAGAATATTACAATCTTAGGGACTCAGGACTATCATGCTAAAATGTGCCAAGGAAAAGGAGAAGAAAAAAAAGACACCACCATTCACTGTCTCTCTGGTCATATTCTAGGTGCAAGTTGCTATTTGATAAATAGTTCTGGCCAATGAGACTTAAGTAAGACTGACTACTGTAAAAACTCTCTTGGAAGCACCATCTAGAAAACAAAGATGAAATAAATCTCTCTATACCATTTCACAGCACTGCTCATGTGAAAAGAAGCCATAAAGACTAAAAACTATTGCAAAGGAGGGGGAAGAAACTGAACCAGTTCAGGACAGCCATTTCAGAACTTCCTGTGAAGAAAAAAATTGCCCTTTAACTACTGATGGGATTTTCTGATACTAAAAGGTGAATGCAACCCAAACTGAGTCATAAACTTAATGAAAAAGAACCGAAAAAAACCTACCTACCTACCTACCTACCCTGTTTGCATTTTATTCTTACTACTTATGGAGACTTAAAAAAAAAAAAAAAAGAAGAGAAAAGAAAGAAAAGGAAGAAAAGAAAGAAAGAAAGAAAGAAAGAAAGAAAGAAAGAAAGAAAGAAAAAGACTCTCATCTAATTGTTGCCAATTTTTCCATCTGGTTTCTACTAGAAATCTAGAATTGGTCGTAGATAAGTGTTCAGAGGAACAAATTTTATAAAATAAATAACGGCTCTCCCTGCCATATAGTTTGAGTACTAGTAGTATTTTCTTTCCATAGTGTCAAATTAAGTATTTCAGCGGTGTAAGAAGTGAAGAACTAAGTCTTGTCTAATCTTTAACAGCAAACTGTAATCTCTTTAAATCTAATTTTATTAATTTTTGAAATACGTATAATTGTCCAAAACCTATTGAATATTTACTGCTGCTTTTCACGAGGTGTTAGTGAAGACATTTCCCCCTCCTTTGAACAGGCCCCCAACTCACACTTCTCCTAGCTTTTGAAACAGAAGCATGCACATGCATTACAGAATTACTAAGACCTTCTACATATACCTAAGTTGAGTGTATTAAATGAAACAGTATTCCTCTCTCTGCTCTAATTCTGAATGTCTCAAATGTATTGAAAGGAATGAAGGGTTGGGTAATGTGTCTATTTCTAATCCATAATGATTAAGGAGAGTAGTTTCCATTCTCTATTCCAAAGAATTGACCTTTAAGCTAAAACATAAAGAATGCAGAAGTATTAAGGCAAAAAATGGAATTAAAGAACATTTCAGAGACAGAAAAGTGAAAGGCCCCCAAAGCCAAGAACTTTGCAGGTTTATGGCTTGGGAAAAAAATGTAATGGTATTAAATGGTTTTGAAGATGAGTTCTAAACAAGGATATAATTTATTTGATTTAGAGCTTTTTATTTTAAATAAATCCAGCCGCTTTTTGGAAAATGAATTTCCACAAAGTGGAAAACCAATCAGAAAGTTTTTGAGGCTTGAGGTAGCTTAGACTAAGAAAAAGAAGCGGAAAAAGTCACATTCAAAATATGTTTTGTAGGGGCCAGAGATAGTGCAGCAGGTATGGAACTTGCCTTGCATGAAGCTGACCTCAGTTCAACCCCTGGCACCCATTCTGATTCCCCCAATCTCCGCCAAGAGTCATTTCTGAGTGCAGTCAGAAATAAATCCCCCAAACTGCCAGGCATAACCCAAAACCCAAAAAATAAAAATGTTCTCTAGGTAAAACTGACTACCCTCAAAACAAAATTTCATAAACATCTTCAGTACTCCAAAAAAATACTGAAACAAAACAAACAAACAAACAAAAAAAAAACAAACAAAAAAAAGTACTAAAAAATTAATGAATAAATATACTATCTGATCTGACTGGATCAACAGCACAGCAGGTAGGGTGTTTGCCTTGCACATGGCCGACCTGGATTCAATTCCTCCGTCCTTCTCTGCAGAACTCTTTTTGTTAATATGGCTTTCAACACTCCTGCAGACAGCTACAATCTGTTATGTTTATTTTATACTATAATTACATTAAAAATACAGTAAGAAATTAATCAGCCATATTCCATACATGCTACTCTAACAATAATAATTTTATTTCTTACTTTCCTCCCCCAGACAGCCAAATACACTACTCTAGTCCCTCTGAAACAAGTGATATTTTCACATATGAAGGTCTTTATCCACTCTATTGGATGTTTCTTTGTAGTAAGACATGCTGCTTCATAGTTACTATCTACTCATTAATTCAAGCTGCAAACCTTGGTAAATTTGTCAATTTACTTCCTTATTTCAAGTTATTATATTATTGTGCCTTAAACTTGTCTCCTTATTTCAAATTACTTTATTGTTTCTACTCTGTAGTTAATATTCAGATAAGCATTATGTCTAAGTTGTTTTCATTTCAGTTTAAGAATTCTTCTGTATTTTGGTGGACCTTTGTAAAAAATTCATTTCAGAGAAGGTCAAATGGATACATGAGCTTTATAATGAAGACTGATATGCAAAAAATGTAAATAAGAAAATCCCTGAAAGTAGACTATGGACTGAACATGTTTGCCACTCAAAGCCTCTTTTGCAGACCACAACACCCAAAAGGAGAGAGAGAACACAAGGGATCGCCCTGCCACAGAGGCAGGGTGGGATGGGAGGGATGGGGGTGGGAGGGATATTATCCATGGTGGTGGAAAATGGGCACTGGTGGAGGGATGGGTATTTGATCATTGTATAATCGAAACCCAAGCACAAAAAAATGTAAATCTACAACTGTACCTCATGGTGTTTAAAAAAAAATTATATTAAAAAAAAAAGAAATGATCTACAATGCAAAAATACAAATGCTCAAGCTGTTAAAAAAAAAAAAAAAGAAAATCCTACCTTTCTTACATAGCCGGGAAAATACTAAGTTCATTATGTCAAATATGTAAGAACAAGACTAAAATAAAGCCAATGCATCTAATTAACACAGAAAAATACTACAATTGAAGAGGAATATATAAAGAGAAAAAAATTTTAAAAAAATAATAAAACCACTTCAAGGACACTTAATTGAACCTACCCATTTAATTCTCCTTTAATTCTTACTTCTGAAGTAGGCAGTCTGAACATGCATTCTATGTTATATTAGACCTCTATAAAATCCATTTATTTTCTGAATATGAGAATTTAATATTTTTATTCTTTAAGCACACTCTTATTATGATCTGATAGTACTTAAATCAACTAACAGCCCTGAAAAAAATACTGATATTTTCTGTATGTTTGATAATGAATGTTTTTCAACCTTGTACTCCTTTATCTACACATACCTATTGTCTATCTTATCTATATTACATCCTTCCTTACATGTTGACTTCTTACTCGAGTTCTGAGTAGGGAACTATGTGTTGTCTATCTTTATGCTATCAAGAGAACAGCACCTGTTACAAAAATAACACTTAGTAAACATGTTGTAAGTAAATGAATACGTTCATAAAAGGAAAATGAAAGATAAAAATACTGTTAAGTCTCAAATAGGTCATCAAAAATTATCAGAAATTCAGAGCACCTATTTCTAATATCAAATGGTATGACTTATTTTTAAAAATAGAACATTGTATCCATAAAAATAAATTTAGAAATACCGTAATACCACATTCACAATTTTTAACATGTGTGATAATTAAAGAAATTTACACTGTGACGATTTCCTTAACTCACTTTTCTGTTTTGAAGAATATTGCACAACCATCCACATGCTTTCTCTCCTGCTCAGACATGATTTTGGCACGTGACTTTGGAGAAAAAAATCCATCATATCCACGCTCCTTCAATGCTGGCAGAAAGAGAGTGAAGTATTGCTCTGTTTCCACTTCCTGAGATGAAAGAAAAGTTATCAACAACATGATGGAGGAATACTCTGGTTAAGAAATAAAAATGAAAGCATTTTGAAAAAGCAGTTATGAAAAATATGCAAGTCAAAATAATTCACATAACAAATATTATCTAGCTATCTTACCTTACTGCCATTGTCAAATGACAGCTTTTTAAACCTGAAAAAACCAGAAATGTAACATGATTTTCTACTCACACAGCTAGCTGGGTCCCAGGTCTCTTAACTCCCAATTTAGAGTTATTTCATTATACTGCATTTTCTCAAGAATAACAAAGTGTTCACTACCTTACAGATTAAGTATGTCGGTAAAAGTGAATTTCAAATATAAGAATTAAAAAGTCATTTGTTGTTCTCAATTAGTGAAAAGTACTAAGTGGGAATCTTAAGATCAACAAAAAAATTGTATGTTCAGGAACTTCTAGGTACCTGAGAACCAATCAAACAAGCTTTTAATTTAGTAATTAGCAGATTATTTCATTCTTTGACCCATAACGTATTTTAATATTTAAAAATGAAATAATTCAATGTGAAGATGATTTATTTATACTAATGGTCTTAATATCATTTTGTGACAGTAAAAAGACATTAGTCTAAATGTCCAAAAGTATGGAAAGATGCTAAAGCAATTAATATCTAGCCTGTCCAAAAGTAGGAAAAATTAGAAAGCAATTACTATATGTTCAGATAATTGATTTTAAAGATTATTAGTAATATAGAAAGAGTGAGGATGTTAGTACTACAAATATTAAATCAAGCAATTAAGTAACTACAATAAACCTTATTTTGTTTTTTCTCCTCCTCCCGATTGTCAGTTCTTAGTGTTTAGAAGAAAACCTAATTTTAAAAAATTTTTATTTCCTCAGAAAGTCATAAAATTACCAAGTTACTCCAGCACAAAAGAAAAAAAAAGATTTTACTATAAAAAAATAACTTTAAAAGTACGATTTTCTTCTAGGGCTATGATGAGAAAATAGTAAAAATTTATAATACTTAGGATTTTTTACCACAGCATTAATTTGGTTGTTGCTGTTGTGTTTTGTTTTGTTTTTGGGTAGGGGGAAGAAGGGGACACTCAGCGGTGCTAGGGGATCACTGCTGGCAGCACAGTGCCAGCGTTCAAACTGGGGTTAGCGAGGTGGCGGGCAGTGAGCTTTTGCCCCTGTACTGTCTCATCTCACAATCATGTAATATGGTTTAAAGTTAAAAGTTACCCCAAACCTTGATTATTCATTAGCTGAGTAGTGAAAAGAAGCAAAATAAACAAAACTGTATTTCAATAGAAAAGTGCTTCTCCAATTAGATTCATTGTTTTTTTAAATGCATCAAAGTAGTTTAAATTTCAGAGGTAATTTTTAAAAGAAGGCAAAAATCTGATTTTTCCACGTTCAAAACATTTACTATTGAGGAACAACAGGTTTTCAAGAAGGATTTCTCAGGGACTGGAGAGAGAGTGCAGCAGGTGAAGCACTTGCCTTGCACAGACCCAAACCAGGTTTGATCCCTGGCACTGCATATGACAGTGCCCCTGAGCAAGGAGATACTTGTGCACAGCCAGGTGTGGCCCCAGACAAAAACCCCTAATAAAAAATAGATCTCATTATTGTAAATTAAATGTGTATTTCTCAAAGATATAATCCGCAGTTTTCTCTTTTAGCAGCGTCAGATGACTTTCCCTTGACATGAACTGTTCATCTGAATAATGGGCGAAATTCATTTTTACTTAAAAATGTAAATGAGTACCTAAGTGGATAGCTATACTTAGCAAAATAGCTTCACTGTGAAAATGCTTTACGTGCATATTAAAACTATCCTTTTTAAGAGAATAGAAAACAATTCCTTTTGAGTTTTGCTTGAAGGCAGAATCTCTCCAGAGGTCAAATCTTCTGTTATTTTTAGTTCACTTTCAAGTCAAAGGCAATTTAATTTCTATAGTGTTACCTGAAGACTAATGATATCTGCGTCACAGTTAACAATTTCTTCCATAATTCCCTTTTTCCTGTATTCCCAGTTTAATGCCCAGGATGGGCAATAGCCATATAGCTGCCGGGTGGCGTATTTATCACATAACACATTGTAACACATAACCGTGAATGATGCTAAGAAGTGGGAGGAAAAAAAACAACAGACAGAGGGAGAAAATTAGGCAAATTTTTCCAAGCAAATACATTCCAAATATCACTACGAAATGCTTCAGCAAGAGATTCTGTTAAACTTTATCTATTAAAATTGCACGGTGGTCCCCTCATATTGAAGGTCTTATTTTTTACTAGGATTAGACTAAGGTTTTTTGAGAATTAAGTTAAAAAATGATTAAAATTTTAAATCAGACCTTTTTTTTGTATTTAATTTCCTGGAAAAAAGGTTTCTCTGCACAAAGAGAAAAATATTTTTTTATTTATTTTCATTGAAATCATCTGTTTCAGTTCATTTTTAATTAACCAATAACCCAGACTCCTTTGGGTCATGTACTATCGCACTGCTTTAAGCATAAAGAACATGAACCAACAAATTCATAAAAGATTCCTTTCTATCAAGTCACACGTTCACTTCTGAAATTAAATTTTCATTTGTAAATGCCCTTGAATCATGAACCTACTCGGAGTGAAAAGCAGCTGGTATATTTGCTGCGGAAAAGTGTACTCTAAGGACCAGCAGCATCAGTTAGGAACTAAGAAATGAAGACTCTCTGGCCCCAAAGAGAATGTGCAATTTAACCAAAATATCCCACTGATTTCACATGTTGGTTTGACAAAGCCAGGGCTTGTCAAACAATGTTATGGTCTATACTGGTTGCCCATTACATCAATCTGCATAGCTACCTAGGGCCCTCCTACAAAGTCAGTATATTTGGTATATTCATATTTTTTCAAAGCACCTCAGGTGATTATAATGAGCATGCATGATTGAGAATCATCCAAATAAAACAAAACAAAACAAAAAGCAAATAATCTAATACTTGATTGAACTTGATTCAGATTCAGATGATGGAAAAGTTATTAAGAGAAACTTATTTCAGCTAGCTCAGGAATATAAATGCTGGCTATTTTGAATACTGGACCTTTTTCCCACAGTACTGGAATTAAATCTAACAGCTTTTCATTACAGTTTTGTGGTTATGAGAAATCATACACATTTCCCTATGCATCAGAAGGTACTTTTAATCTCTTCCTATAGCACTAAGATTCTCTCAGGGAAATCCCATATATTCCAAGAAAAATATACAATGATTTTTCAATAAGGAAACCCTAACTACATATTACTAAAGAAAACCTGTTCCCATTTTTCCTTTCCTTAATGGAAATACAGGTATAAAATATTAGGAAACTGTATTCTTCAAGGTTCTATTCACTCATGTTCAAAAAATAAATTATTTTAAAAATCTAAAAAGTAGATTTTTTTTTTTTTTTGCTTTTTTGGGTCACACCCGGAGATGCTCAGGGGTTACACCTGGCTTTTCACTCAGGAAACACTCCTGGCAGTGCTCGGGGGACTATATGGGATGCTGGATATTGAACCCAGGTCAGCTGCGTGCAAGACAAACACCCTATCCGCTGTGCTATCCCCCGAAAGTAGATTTTTTTACTATCAGAACAATTAATCATATATACAGAAGTTAAATATACATTAAATCGTTCTGACCTACGATATTCCTTTTCTTAGGTATCCTTTTGTTTAGACTATCAGCACATCTCAATAATACAAATCCTATTCATGATCACACTGACCCTCTTAGAACATGCTGATACCGCAGGTCAAGAGTACAGTGATTTTAAAATTACTGCTTCTTGAAGATACAGAAGTTTATTGTGTATGATATTTCTCATTGATAACAAGTTACTCTTCCCACAATGTCCAGTACCAAAGCAAAGAACAATTTTCCTAAATCCTCTCACATCATTTTCTTTAAAAAAAAAAAAAAAAAAAAGGTCAGGAAGTCATAGGGATAGCTCTTTAGCTCAAATGGGAAGAGAACACACTTTGTACGCATGGAACCCTGAGCTCCATCAAGGTCGAGCACAGTATGGTGGACTGTGGTAGAGATCGGAGGGTCGAGGTATCCCTGATGGTGCCTGTTAGAGCCACCAGGTATGACCCTCCACATCACTGTGCCCCAGCACCTCTCAGCCTCCACTGCTGAGCCAGCATCACCGGGAGCAGCCTCTGGTCCTCAAGTACCACAGGGGAATCCCCTTCCATACAAAACGAAAGACAACAGCTTTGGACTGCTTTTAAAAACCTAAAGCTGTTGCTTTACCCTTTAAAAATTAAGATGTTTTACTGCTGATTGATTTCAATTTTCTTGCGCAGTATGGGGGAGGAGGGGGAAGAGGTAGAAGACAATAAAATATATGTTTGTTGTTTTTAAAATAAGTAGAAATGAAAATTACTGTCCCAAATTTAAAAGGCATTTGAAGACTCACCAATTCATAACAATTTATGTTAAGTAGAATTCCCAATAATAAAACATCTAGTAAACAGTAAGAAGCCCTAGAAATGATATAAAGTTATTTCTAATTTTATTAGACTACTGCCTGATACAGATAGAAAAGTTTATATTTACATTATTATAGTTTTGGACTTACTAAATTACATCCTGAAAAATGCTCAAATACTCGCCCTATAACATTTCTAAGCTCCCAACCTGATACAGTTTGCATCCAATATGGAAACTGTAAACTTAAAGACTAAATTATTCTTTAACAAGTGTTACCAATTTACCTTCTCAAGAAAGATAAATTACATAAGTGGCTTAAAATTTAAGAAGAAGATTCCTTATTCTTAGTCTGTAACTATATCTCACAGTGATTTTTAATTAAAATTTTAAAAAAAGAAAATTTCTTTTTTTTTGTTTTTTTTTCCATTTTATTTTATTTTATTTTTTTTTACAGTTGTAAATTTACAATTTTTTGTGCTTTAGTTTCAATTATACAATGATCAGATACCCATCCCTCCACCAGTGCCCATTTTCCACCACCATGGATAATATCCCTCCCACTCCCATCCCCCCATCCCCCCTGTCTCTGTGGCAGGGCAATCCCCTGTGTTCTCTCTCTCCAAAAAAAGAAAATTTCTTATTCTTAATGTGGGTTAATGTTGTTTTTTAAGTCTATGTGTTAGTAATCTTTTAACTTTACTACCTTTGGGAGGTAAAATTAAGGTCTTTATCACAAAGCCCAACTGGCGTATCAAGTATTTCTGAAAAAAGTCAAGAAGAAAATAAGAAAAACTACTTACCTGATGGCAGAATTTGGTCTCGTTCTTTTAATGTAATCCATGGCCTCGGAGGAAGCTGCTCTGGATGAACTGAAAAAAATTTTGAACATAAGTTCGTGTGTTTCTTTAACATTTTTATTTATTTATTTTATAACATCAAATTTATCTTTAGTTCACAAACTTTGAGCTTTCCCTTTAGTTTATTTTAAAAAAAATCTAAACCTAAAATATAAATGTAATAAAGACTTAGAAGTTGAAGGAATTTTAAAGATTTATACAGAAAATATACACCAATATCTTAAAAGAACATTTAAAAACTCACTTATGGCAGTTCCACTTAGAATATTTGTGAAAAAGTAAAGGTAAAAAGGTAAAGGCCCTCCCGTTGATCGTCGATTTGCTCGAGCGGGCCCAGTAACGTCTCCATTGGAGACTTTGTTGTTACTGTGTCTGGCATATCGAATACTCTCGGTAGCTTGCCGGGCTCTCCGAGAGGGGCGGAGGAATCGAACTTGGGTCGGCCATGTTGGCTGCTTGTAAGGCAGACGCCCTACCCGCTGTGCTATCGCTCCGGCCCTAGTGAAGATGTATTTTAAAACCTTAAAGAGGCTCTTACATCTTAGTTATACATATAAACTGTGTTGACATGCTTGAAAAGCAACGCATGTGCTTGGCTTTGCATACTAAGCGTAAATTCAACAAGTGGATGAATTAAAATATTCAATTATCTTTAAATAACTGAAACAAACATATAGTAAAATTTGATTTTTTAATTTTGGAGGTCTATACCCTCTGGTGGAGCACAGGGACTACTCCAAGGAAGATGCAAGGGAGTCCATGCAGTGATAAGAGTCTGAACCCAGGGCTCCCATGTGCAAAGCTATCAGCCCTTTCAGCTCTATCTCCAACTTACTCAATTCTTTAAATGGATCATTCACTTCCTAGTTTTTATCTTTCCTTTATAAATTCAAAGCAGTACAAGCTGGCTCTGGGTGCCCAGTGTATGCACACCCAGAGCCTCAGACTCAACTAAACCACGAAAGCACAGTTAGCCAGCACCAGTGCACAGATCTGTAAAATCTGACACAGGTAACCCGCATCAAATAATCTACCACACAGAGAACATTGGCTCTGGGCTCTAATGGGTGCACGCCCTGAGCCACAGACATAATGAACATCTCAGCAGACCAATCGGAGTCTATGAGGCCTGGGAATAGCATCACTATTACTGTCCTCCCGTTGTTCATGGATTTGCTCAAGTGGGCCCAGTAACGTCTCCATTGTGAGACTTGTTATTGTGTTTGGCACATCAAATACGTCATGAGTAGCTTGCCAGGCTTTGCCGTGCGGGCAAGATACTCTCGGTAGCTTGCCATGACCTCCAAGATGGGGAGAGGAATCGAACCCGGCTCAGCTGGGCCGGCTGCGTGCAAGGCAAACGCCCTATTGCTGTGCTATCGCTCCAGCCCGGGACCAGCGTAAGAAACCCAAAATGAATAATAATAATTAATTATGTTGGATAGCTTCGACAGGGAAAGCAGAGAGCACCTGACAGCTGGTCCACCCAGAGAGTAATGCAGGATCACAAGCAGTGAACTAGAGACACTCACTCCCAGTTTGCAAGTGGCACCAATAGGGAAGCGGAACAAAACCCCACTGTGCTTAGTGAGCAAAGACTCAAGCAGTACAAACCAGATAATCTCTCAGGTAGGGGCTCTAAATTAGATTCTTTGGAGATGCTTAATGAACTCAGAGAAATAACGGAATGAAGAGCCAAAACACACAAGAGGATATGAAAGTAGAAATAAGAAAACTACAAGCAGAAATGACAGAACTGAAAAATTTGGTAGGTGAAATGAAAAACTAACTGGAAGCTCTCAGCATCAGAAGACAAAATCAGTGAGCTCCAAGATGAGATGCAGGAAATCTTCATACAACAGCAGAATATGGAAGGTCTCAAAATACATTAACAGTACACACAAGAACTTGGGGATAAATTCAAGACGAGTAACATGAATCATCAAAATCCCAGAGACACGGGAAGAATTAGATTCCAGAGTTGAAGAGTACATGCACCCCTGCATGCACCCAGATTCAGGAGGCCTGAAGGGTACCAGCTACAAGAGATCCATATAAAAATGCTCCAAGGCGCATCCTAATCAGAATAACAAAAACCACAAACTCAGAATACTGAAAGCAACAAGTTCAATGAAGAAAATCACATACAAAGAAGTGTCCTTAAGAGTTTACCACAGATTTATCAAATGAACCTGCAGGCCCAAAGACAAAGGCTGGATATAGTTTAAAAACAAGTATGACAACAAAAACCTTACCAAGAATACTTTATCCAGCCAGACTCTCATTCAGATTTGAAGAAATAATACAAACTTCATGGATAAGCAATAGCTCAGGAATTTCATAGACCCCCCCAAAAAAAATCCCACAAACCAAAGTTCTATAGAAAGATGGCATAAAACTCTTGCTAATAATCTCAATGTCAATGGCCTAAATGCACCGATTAAGAGATACAAAGTGACAAGATGAATTAGGAAAAAACCTTAGGCTACTTACAGAAAACACATGTGAACAAAAAGGAACAGAGAGAAAGTCAAAGGTTTAAGACAGTATGTCAAGCAAACAACCTCCACGAAAGGGCTGGCCCTGCTGGCACCAGACAACTTCAAGGTTTAAATAGTTGTAAGAGACAGAGAGGGTCATTTCTTAATGATCATGGGATATGTACATCATGAAGAATTCACACTCCTAAACATATATGCACTTAACAAGGGTTAATAAGACCCTTAATAAGGTAGCCATCAATAATAGTAACATAATCAGAGCTGCAGACTTCAACACACCTATATCACCACTTGATAGATCAACTAGAATAAACTCAGCAAGAAAATACTGGATTTGTTTTGTTTTGTTTGCTTTTTGAGTCACACCCAGCGGTGCACAGGAGTTACTCCTGGCTCTGCACTCAGGAGTTACTCCTGGCTCAGGGAACCATATGGGATGCTGGGAATCGAACCCAGGTTGGCCGCGTGCAAGGCAAACGCTCTACCCGCTGTGCTATCTCTCCAGCCCCGGAAATACTGGATTTGAAGAAAGAAGTGGAAAAGGGGGGCTTAGTGTGTGTGTGTGTGCGTGTGCGCGTATACTATTAATCCCCAAAGCCAAATACTCCTCCAACATACACTGGACATTCTCCAGGACAGATCCCATTCTGGGCCATAATATATACCTCCACAAAGTTCAGATCAACCATCTTCTCAGACCATGATAAACTGAAAATAGAAATTAAATGCAAAGAGAAATTAAGAAATACAAGAACACCTGAAAGTAATCCTCTCACTACTGAACAACTTAATGGGTCAGAGAGGAATTTCAAGGGGAGATCAAGATTCCTAGAAACAAAGGAGAATGAGGACACTAGCTACCAGAACTTGTGGGACATAGCAAACGCAGTGTTAAGAGGAAAGTTCATAGCTCTGAAAGCATTCATCGGGAAGAAATATAAATAACTTGACTTCACAGCTTAAGATCTTGGAAAATAACCAGAAGAGGAGACCAAAGCAGACAGGAGGAAGGAAACAAAAAAAACTTATGAACAGAAACTAATAAACTAAAACCAAAAAGAAAAAAAGAAAAAAATCAAAAGACTAAAGAAAAAATAAACAAGACTATAAACCACTAGCAAATAAATAAATAAATAAATAAATAAGGGTGGGGAGGGTAGGGCAGACAAACAGTTTGGCAGGTAGGGCGCTTGTTTTGCACACAACTAACTTTGGTCTGATCTCTGGCACCCCATATGGACCCTCAAGCCAGCCAGGACTGATACCTGAGTGCAGAGCCAGGAGTGATAGCTGAGTGTAGAGGCAGGAGTAAGCCCTGAGGGAAGGAGAAAGGGAGTGGGAGAGGGAGAGAGAACGGGTAAGGAAGAGGGAGGAGAAGGAGACTGAGGGGGTGGGGGAGAGAGAAAGCAAGAGAGCCCTAAATAACTGAATCGGAAATGAAGGGGGGGGGGGGTGACATCAAAACAGAAACTACAGAAATGAGATAATCAGAGATGACTGTAAAAATCTTTATGCCATGAAATGAGAGAACTCCTAAGAAATAGATAAATTACTGGATTCCTATAATCTCCCAAGGTTGAACCAAGATGATATGGAATACCTGAACAGACATGTACAAAGTGAAAAAATCAAAACAGTAATCAAAATTCTCCCAAAAAACAAAAGCCCAGTCCTAGATGGATTCACCACTGAGTTCTTCTCAACCTTTATTTTATATTTTTTTGCTTTTTGGGTCACACTGGGTCATGCACAGGGGTACTCCTGGCTCTGCACTCACGAGTTACTCCTGGCGGTGCTCAGGGAACCATATGGGATGCTGGGAATCGAACCTGAGTTGGCCACGTGCAAGGCAAATGCCCTATCTGCTGTGCTATTGCTCCAGCCCTCCCAACCTTTAAAGAAGACCAACTGCCAATCCTTTTCAGGCTCCTTTAGAAAACTGAAAAAGCAGAAACACTTCCAGGTTCTACATGCAAATATTATCCTGATACCAAAAGAAGACCGAGACACCACAATAAAGGGGAATTACAGACTTATATTTCTGATGAACACATGCAAAAATCCTCAACAAAATATTAGCAAATGATCCAAAGACTCATCCAAAAGATCATACACCATGAAGATGTGGGATTCATCCCAGGGATGCAAGGATGGTTTAATGGTAATACACCTTTATCAATGAAAAAAAAACCCCATATGATCATAACAATAGACACAGAGAAAGCATTTAATAAGATCCAGCACCTATTCATGATAAAAAAAATAAATAAAATAAAAACTCTCAACAAAATGGAAACTAAAGGAATTTTCCTCAAGAGTCAAGCCATAGTCATTTAACCACAAGCCCAAAGTCATTTACCACAAACTCACAGCAAACATTATATTCGATGGGGAAAACCTAAAAGTCTTCCCTCTCTGAGCAGGCACAAGGAGCTGGAGCACAGAGGGTAGGGTGCTTGCCTTGCACGTGGTGGACCTGTGTTCAATCTCCAGCATCCCATATGGTTCCCC